GGGGAACAGCCAGTACAAAAGCAACATGGAGGCAGGAGACTCGATGCAAGTTCACAGAATAGCAAGAGTGGGTAGAAGCGAGAAATGTCAAATAAACTCATCAAGGTCTCTGGGGCCAAATTGTGATGGGCTTTAAATGCCAAATGGAGAAATTTGTGTTTGTCCCTTACGCTAGAGGCGATACAATTGGAGGGACTACTTGAACCGAGCAGCGACATGGCTAGACCCTTGCTTTAGGAGTATCATTTTGACGGCCTTGTTGGGGCACGGATGGAGAGACCGAAAGTGAGGAGTTCACTTAAGCTGTTACAACAGTCTACATGAGAGGAAATAAGGGCCCGTAGTATGGTGGTGACCCTCTAGATGGAGAGAAGGAGACAGGTACTAGGGATGTGAAGGAGGTGGCTTCAGCATGGCTTGGCAACTTATTGGTTATGAGGGTGGTGGTGGAACGATTTGAGGATGAGTTTGCAAACCTGGATGACTAAAGAAATGGCGAGATCCTCCAGAGAAACTTAGAATTTAGGAAAAAGGAAAGGCTCAGGGGGAAAGATAATGAGCTCTCTTTTGGCCATGTTGAGTTTGATACAGGACATCCAATTTTAAATGTCTAGTAGGCAGTTTAACATGTGGTCTAGAGCTCAGGAGATATACACTAGGACTGAATATCTATTTAATGTAATCTCTTTTTGTAAAGTGAGCAATCACCTTTAATAGCAATTTTAATGTAGACAAGAATTTTCAGATAACTCATTCCCTTAAATTAGGGGCATCTCTGTGCTCCTATTTAATATAAATAGCCAACACTTCTTTTGTGCTTTCAGATTTGCAAAGCATTTCACATATATTACTTCATCTGATCCTCCCTGTGAGGTAGATATTATCATGATGTCCATTTCACAGATGGAGGAAATGAGGCAGAGGGACGTTAAGTGACTTGACCAGGGTCACACAGCTAGTAAATGTCTAAGGTGGGATCTGAACTCAGGTCTTTATGATTCCAAGTCCACAGCTCTATCCAGTATGTCAAGGTAGTCTGGAATGAGAAAAGGCAGTTTTTAATCTAAATATAAAACAAAGAAGAACTTCTTATATTCAAAGTTGTCCTAAAGTAGAATGACCTTCCTAGTAAGGTAGTGAGTTCTTTCTACCTTCAGGTCTTCAAACAGAGGTAGGATGAAGGTTGTTATAGGGGGCTATCATAGGGGAGATTCCTGTCCAGGTTTGGGTTGGATTATGTTCCCTCTGAAATCTTTCATCTCCAAGTTTTTCTGCTTCTCTGAAGGACATGGAGAAAGTTTCTCAACTGTCAGGATTGATATAAGCCAGCTTTCTAGATAATTTTTTTTTTAATGGGGGAGGTTCAAAATATTTTTTAGTTTCCCACTTCTATGAATATTGACTTTCTAGAAATGGTCAGAATCATAGACCTGGAGTTGGAAAGAGCCTCAGAGGCCATTGAATTCTACCCTCTCATTTTACAGAGGAGGAAACTGAGGTCCACTGAAGAGAAGTGACTTGTTCAATGTCACCTGTGCAATCATAGATCTAGAACTGAAGGGACCTTGGGTCCACCCCCTTCATTTTACTGAGGGGTAGTCCAAGGGAGGGATATGAAGAGACTTACTCAAGGTAAATGATTGGTATTGTTTTAAAGTTCTGAAAAATGCAATGAATTAGGCTTAATTTTGACAACCATAATAATATACTATTGAAAATTAAGGAAATGAATTTTTGTTCCTTCAGTCTGTGACATCAATGAATTTAAATAAAGATATCATAGTGGGGCAGAAATACACTGATTGGATGAACAGCATTAAGCACACAATTGCATTATGCTGGGTGCATGGGAATTTGACTGAGAAAACAGGCTCCAAGCCTCCCCTTGTTGTGTTAGTCTCCATTCTGAGCAATGGTTAAAGTGATTTAATCATTGAATGAGTTGATAATTGAATGGATGAGCTAGCCAATCACAGACTCTGCTTTGGAGATTCAAGCCAACAGTGAGATTCCTCTTCTGTGGCTTTATTTAATAGTCTATATAGCTTCTATTTTTTTCTCTGTTCTCCTTAATCACTTTCGCTCTATTTGATAAGGCCCTTGCAGGCTTTCTGCAAATATTTCCATTTTGACAGCACTGTAATAATGCTGGGGCACATAGAAAATTATAGCAACCCCAATCAAGGAGAAAAATGGCTTAATAAGATGAAAATGCAGAGTACCTATTTAGAAAATCAAATTACTAGATAAATGAAATGTGTTTCCATTTTGTTTCTAGCTTGTCTGCACAATGAAACCCATGTCAGGCATAGTCCATGTTTAGGAATCTTGAAATGTCGTTCCTGTTTACTCTTTTCACTGGGGCTGGTCTACTGCAGAGTGGGGGGCAGTTTGACATAAGGGAAGCCCTGGCCTGGGAGTGAGAAGAGTGACATTTTGGTCTTGGGCTCTTTCTGAGGAGGAGACTCTCTGAGGAAGAAGAAGCTGCTTGCCCTCTCAGGAATGATGCTGAATTTCAATGGGCTCTGTCAGGCGAGAAACTATTGGTCAACTTGATAATAATAACTAAGAAATCTGCTCTCTTTGGGGCATTTGTACCAAGGAAGAACCTACTGAGACTTGTAAAAGGAGATGACTATGACCCACTTTGAGTGATTCAAGTACTGTTCAAAGGAATCTAGAAAGCATCCGAGCAAGAAACTGACAGCTTCAGGGGCACAGGCAATGTTTTTATTCCTGCCACTGACCAAAAGAAAGAGTTGCAATAGACTAGGGTAGTACAATCAGGAAGTCAACAGTGGGTTAAAAAGATGGTGTCAAGGGGCAGCTAGGTGGTGCAGTGGATACAGCACTGGCCCTAGAGTCAGGAGGACCTGAGTTCAAATCCGGCCTCAGACCAGACACTGTGTGGCCCTGGGCAAGTCACTTAACCCCAATTGCCTCACACACAAAAAAAATGGTATCAAGAATGGAATTTGAATTTCTGTACCATGGATTAAAATAATGGAATGACAGACACTTGGTCAGAGAAGGAGGCTAATACGAGGTGCTAATATATTTACCGGGCAGCTAGGAAGCTCAGTAGATAGTGTGGTGGGGCTGGAAACAGGAAGATTCATCTTCCCGAGTTCAAATCAGTCCTCAGACATTTACTAACTGTGTGACCTTGGGCAAGTCACTTAATCCTGTTTGCCTCAGCTTCGTCATCTGTAAAACGAGTTGGAGAAGGAAATGGCAAACTGCTCCAAGAAAACCTTGAAATGATGTCATGGAGAGTTGGACATGACTGAAACAGTTAAAAAGCAACGATATATTTATGAGGAGTCTTACAAATCTAATCTAAAAAGCTTTAAACTGAAAAAGAAGTGGAAATACATATACTCACACATATATATATACACACATACATATATATCTGCATATCTCTCTATATCTGTATAATAACTACCAAATTGGAAGTAGCAGAGACCCAGAACTTGCAGGAGAGCAGAACCAAGCAAGAAGCCAGAAACGCAATCTATGTCCTGGGCAACTTTTTTGTCTCCTTGTGGGTTCATTTTCCATGAACCATCCCTAAGTTACACTCTAGGGCTCTGTCCTCTTCCTCCCTACGCACTCTTGGTGATCTCATCAGCTCTCATAGGTTCAATGATCACCTCCATGTAAATGATTCCCGTATCTAGATAGGCAGTCTGCATCACCAAACACCCTGCCTATTGGAGGTTTTTGAACTAGATCTCCCGTTCAATGTATCCAAAACGGAAGTCATTAACACCGTGCCCCCCCTCAAAAACCTTCTCTCTTCTGAATTTTTTTAATACTGTTGAGAGCACTACCATCTTCTTGGTCCCCCACACTCACAACCTTTGCATCATCCTCGAGTCCCTGTTTGCCCCACCCCCATGTCTAATCTGTTGCCAGATCTTGTCACTTTTATCTTTACAACATCTCTCCTATATGTCCCCTACTCTCCAGTCCCACGGCCAACTCCCTGGTTTAGGCCTTTGTCATCCTTTCCTTTTCTCTCCACTCCATTCTATTTCACCTTTGGCGGCTGCAGCAAAGTGATTTTCCTAAAGTGCAGATCTGTCTGTGTCACCTCTCTATTCAATAAATTTCAGTGACTCCTTATGACCTTTAGATATGGGGAAACTTCAGAGATCATCTAGCCTAAATCTCTCATTTTACAGAGGGGTAAACTCCAGCTCATGTAGATGAAGTAGCTTGTCAGCCCTTAGAGGCTGTCTACTCCCATTGTTTCATTTTACAGATGAGGGAAACTGAGGCACAGAGAGAGGAAGTGTCTTGCCTGGGCTTATACAGCTAATAAATACCTGAGGCAGAATTTGAACCCAGGTCTTCCAGACTCCAAATCCAATGCCCTATCCACTTATTTGTGGGTATTGCATCTCCTCAGACCAAGTTTCTTGAGGACAGGGCCTCATGCCAAGACTATATGACTGTGTTGAAAAAGCCAAAGACATAAATAAAACCTATTTTTAAAGAACTAGTTGAATTCAAATAAACTTTATTGTTCACCTTGTAGTTAAACAAGATGGCTTGTTGTTGACAAAGAAATTACTTTTTAAGCCCATCTTTCTGTTCCATACTGCTTTTTTGGAGCTGAGAATTTGCCCTGGTGGGAATATGTTAAGTTTCCAGAGCTGGGGACAGGAGCTGCTACATTCCTGCCTAGGAGAGGGGTGCCTAGGAAATGGAACTTAGAGAGCCATCTGAGTTGAGTGTCTGTGTGTCTGTGTCTCTGTGTGTGTCTCTGTGTGTGTCTCTGTGTCTCTGTCTGTGTCTCTGTCTGTGTGTCCCTGTGTCTGTGTGTCCCTGTGTCTGTGTGTCCCTGTGTCTGTGTGTCCCTGTGTCTGTCTGTCCCTGTGTCTGTCTGTCCCTGTGTCTGTCTGTCCCTGTGTCTGTCCGTCCCTGTGTCTGTCCGTCCCTGTGTGTGTCTGTCCCTGTGTCCCTGCGTCTGTCCCTGTGTCCGTGTGTCCATGTCTGTCCGTCTGCCTGTGTGTCCGTGTCTGCTCGTGTGTCCGTGTCCGTCGGTGTGTCCCTGTCCATCTGTGTGTCCCTGTCTGTGTGTCCCTGTCTGTCCGTCTGTCCATCTGTCCGTCTGTCCATCTGTCCGTCTGTGTGTCCGTGTCCGTCGGTGTGTCCCTGTGTCTGTGTGTCCGTGTCTCTGTCTGTGTCCCTGTCCGTCTGTGTGTCCCTGTGTATGTCTGTGTGTCCCTGTTTATGTGTCCCTGTCTGTGTGTTCCTGTCTCTGTCCGTGTGTCCGTGTCCGTCCGTCCGTCCCTGTGTCTGTCCGTGTGTCCGTCCGTCCGTGTGTCTGTGTCTGTCCGTGTGTCTCCGTGTCTGTCCGTGTGTCCCTGTCCGTCTGTCCGTGTGTCTCCGTGTCTGTCCGTGTGTCCCTGTCCGTCTGTCCGTGTGTGTCCGTGTGTCCCTGTCCGTCTGTCCGTGTGTCTCCGTGTCTGTCCGTGTGTCCCTGTCCATCTGTCCGTGTGTCCCTGTCCGTCTGTGTGTCTGTCCGTGTGTCTCTGTGTCTGCCTGTGTGTCCCTGTCTGTGTGTCCGTCTGTCTGTGTCCCTGTCTCTGTTTGTCCGTGTCTGTCTGTCCGTGTCTGTCCGTGTGTCCGTGTCTGTCCGTGTGTCCGTGTCTGTCCGTGTGTCCCTGTCTCTGTCTGTGTGTCCCTGTCTCTGTCTGTGTGTCCCTGTCTCTGTCTGTGTGTCCCTGTCTCTGTCTGTGTGTCCCTGTCTCTGTCTGTGTGTCCCTGTCTCTGTCTGTGTGTCCCTGTCTCTGTCTGTGTGTCTCTGTCCCTGTCTGTCTGTCTGTCTCTGTCTGTCTGTCTGTCTCTGTCTGTCCGTGTGTCCCTGTCTGTTGTCCGTGTGTTCCTGTCCGTGTGTCCCTGTCTGTCTTTGTGTCCCTGTCTCTGTCTGTGTGTTCCTGTCTGTCTGTCCCTGTCTGTCTGTCTGTCCCTGTCTGTCCGTGTGTCCCTGTCTGTTGTCCATGTGTCCCTGTGTGTTCCTGTCTGTGTGTCCCTGTCTGTCTGTCCGTGTGTCCCTGTCTGTCCGTGTGTCCCTGTCTGTCCGTGTGTGTGTGTGCCTCTGTGTATGTCTGTGTGTTCCTTTCTGTCTGTGTGTCCCCGTCTGTCTGTGTGCCTCTGTGTATGTCTGTGTGTCCCTGTGTATGTCCGTGTGTCCCTGTCTCTGTCCGTGTGTCCCTGTCTCTGTCCGT